AGATGATGGACAGCAGATGTACAGCTGCTGTCTGACCAGTTAACCTGCTGGGTCCATAGAGATGCTGAATGTGTGCGGAGAGGAAATGGACCCATAAAACCTCCCTGGTCAGGAATCAAGCACCGGATCTGCAGTTTCCAGCTATGGCTGCTAGCTGAAGACGATGGGGCTAGAACTGGCATCTACACATCCTGCTAGAATGATCCCTGTCCTATTGACTTAAAATAGGGCAGGAAGGCAAATTTAGTTTGCAGCGGCGCAAGTCCCAGGCCAAGTACGATGCCCTGCACATATCTTGATAATATGAATAAATACATACTAAGAACTGCAGAAAAGTCTCACTCATGCAACATGTTTTAAACAGGTTTACAGCTTTTTCTGGGCACAATACGCTTTCCCAAAATACTGGCACTGAAAACAGCCTGATTTCCTATCTAGACCCAAACCAGACCTCAGTTCTGTTCTAAGTCTAGCCCCATAAAATTTCAGCCAGAGTCTTCTTTGGTGCATTTGCTCCAACCTGACTCCAAAAAAACTATCTGAAAGTGCACCAAAATTCACCAGTTTCAAGACTTTTGAGAGAATACCTCTGACGCCGTAAGTGTTGAGGGCATTCTGAGGGCAGGAACATTCAGACTCAAACTCTGCCGGCATAGAGTGAAGACTTTTTTTTTTTGATTCTTGCTACATTATGGATTTAACATTTACCTTAAATGCCAGAAGACATTAAAATACATTTTTTACAGAGGAATATGTAGCTACAAATTCTCTAGATCTGCTAACATTTTAAAAAAGATCCACTGGACCGAACCTACCAGCTTGGTCCTGGTCTAAACCATCAGTGACTTCTCTGGAAGATTTCTTAGATTAAGCTCTAAGGCACCAGAAAATCCATGTGGAATAAAATGCAGAAAGCACAAAAGATTTCTTCATTTTGATATGAACAGAAGGTCTGGAAATTAGTTCACTATGCCTAATAACTTTCAGAATTGTTTAAAGGTGGAGTTTAAATAAGCAGCCAAGTTTTCAGCAGATGCTCCGGGATGCTTGATGCTCAACACTCCTGAAAAATCTGTCTGTCTATTCAGACACTGAAATACACATGCAGGCATCCACTCTATTAATGATCCATTTTTAGGAAAAAAAAAAAAAAAGAGCCTAAAATTTATTTGTATTAGACTAGAAACTGAAAAAAATTGTGGTGGAATTTTTGTTTTCTGTTTTTTTTTTTCCTTCTTTTTTTTCCCTCCATTTGACCTGCCTTTTCTTCTTAAGATGAAGAGGATTCACCTTCATTTTCTTTCTACACAGGGCATTTATTATTGAATAAGCACCATCATGTGCTCAGTGTGATTAAAAAAAGAAATGTAGGCCTTGCACTCAGGTAGCTCACAAGAGAAAAGAAAAACCCCAAGAGATGTCATGGGGGATAGTACTTGCTTCCACCACCCCTTAAAGGCATAAAAGCATCTTCTTCCCTGTTTCTGTTGTGCTCTATAGTTATGGATGACTTTTCTCCAGGACAGGCAAAAGAAGAAGAACACTTTATTAAAATTCTAACATATGATCCTGGAGAAATACTGTTTGATATGTGTGCATGTGTACTTGTGTGTGTAATACTTGTAATATGCATACATTTTTAAAGGGATGCATTACAACCTTGTGGTTTCAGAAAAAGATTAATAGCTCACTTTCCAATATTGGCATAGTAAAGGATTATTGCGAGTTGGACTTTTGCACTTTTCCAAGAGCTGTGTTTGGAACAACAGCACTATTCTATACAAAATTTAAAGATGAAACCAGTTGCGTACTACCATATGTATCAAAACTGAAGTAGCTGAATGCCCATTTTCAGATGCTTCTAGCTACTGTTACAGAAAATGGAATTCAGTTGCATCTTTGAAATTGCTTTTGAAATTTCCTTACAAACACAGAAAAAGACTTAATCTATCATAACATTAATCTCATGTTCCAAATACTTGTATTTTGAAAACCTCCGCACAACAGAAATTTTATCAAGAATTCTTATTTGACATACTAAAGACATAACATTTTAAATTTCATTACTGCTCTCTTGACTGTGTGTCACAATTCTGTAAAGATCCGGTTCTCGTGTTGAATTGGGAACGTCTTCACAGTGATGAATCTGTCGTTCCCCTGCTGAGTTTGGTGGTTTCACTTTGCAGCCGGCTAAAAAGTAAGAAGTTCTGCTTAAAAAATTACAACAAACAAAAAGCCCTCACCTGCGGAAAAGAGCCCTCTGAGCACAAGGAAGGATCGCACTTGTCTTGCAGAGCTCTCCATCCAAGCCAACGAGGGGGCTCTGAAGATGCAGAAGGAAGCTGGCAGCACACTGCAACAGCCTGTCAAAAGAGGCTGCGCCCAGTCTTCGATTACCTGAGCTGCATCCCTTCGTTAAATATTTGTCTTCAAATCCAGAGAAGCAAGAACCGAAGGATTCTTTGTAGGCAGGTGCCTGACAGTCACAGAGTGGTTATGGGGAAAATTCACAGAAAACCACCACGTAAACACTTCTACCGCTTCCCCAGTCAAAACTGCTTTTGGTGCAATAAATGAAGTCTACACTGCATCTACCATATATCTATGTATCAGGCAGCATGCATGTAGCATCATTTCACTTCTTGGTTTACTGGATAAGCCAAGTCACTGTCATATGTTGCTGTAAATGATATGATATTTTGGAAGAAAAGAAGGGAAATTTTGCTCCATGTTTTTGCCTTAGGTAAACAACACTGTACATCTGTACACTCTAACACTTATTTTACAAAGCATGTTTACTGACTCAGAAAAAAAAAAATCCAGATTTGCAGAAGGAGTTCCCTTTATTATTCAAAATATTTGTCAGCTTTAATATTAGCCCACCGAAGTTACTGAAATTGAAGTCTTGTAAATGCATAGGGGACACATATACACATATACTTACGTGGAATAGATGTGCTACTCGCTAACAATTACCATTTAATATGTTAACGAGAAATTGACTGTGACGTTCATGATATTTTCTCCCCTGTATGTTAAGTTGATATCCTATGTAAGCATGTTGGCAGCAATTTATATGTCTCATGACTTTACATTTCACAAAGAAATATTGTGTTTTGTGTTATTTACATTAAAAAGACTTCCTATGTAAAACTTCCCCTTTGTTAAAAATCACTTTATCCTAAGCATTTAAATTATTTCACGCTTTCAAAAGTCACAATTAAGTACCTAATGAGAACTTCCATTCAATGTTACACATAATATAAAAAGAGAAAAAATGTTTGAGACATCAATGATAATATTTTAAATATATTGGCATAGGAAAGTAGGTGTCTTTTTGCTTTATTAAACTGACAGTTCAGTTCTGAAACTTTATTTTGAAAAGATTTAAAAAGGATTTGTGTCTTTAGAAATAAAAAATATAACAGGCATATCTCAAAAATATAGAAGAGAAAACCTGATTGTTAATGAAATAGCTGATGACAAAATAGTAGTCTTTTTGATTTTGATCACAAAAAATAAACTGGTAGTGACAGGATATGATGGATAGATTTGACATCCTGGCAAATCACTGTCATTGATTCAATTATTCTAATTCAGAATAAAAGCTGTATACAGTATGTGTTTATGCTACAGTGGAGTTTTTTAAGTGATTGACATTCATCATATTAGTTAGACAGTTTTAAAAGCCATGTCTTTGTTTTACATAGCGTTGTCAAGAAAAAATAAAGTAGAACCTGGATTGCAGGGGAAAAAAAGCAAACCACTTAACCAACTCCTGGTTCCAAACCCATCAAAATAAGTTACCATTATTGCATCCTATTAACACGTTCTTTGAAGAGTCGATTTCACTCCAGCCATGTAATACACTATTATAGACAACATTTTGAAACTGTAATGCAATCTTACAGCTGGGTGGCTTGGAAGTTCTGCGGCGAAGGAGATATTACCCTTCAAAATGGAAGTCAGCCTCAGAAGAAAGAATGCAACCCATTTGAATTTATAGGTCAGCTTTGCTTCACTGTTCTTTGTTTGATGAGATATACACAGAGATACACACAAAATAGTTAGTAGTTCACAAACTGTATATCTGAGGGTACAGAAGCCTGAATTACTGGTGTATTCTGCCCTGCTTTAGACCAGCATGCTGTGATATCCTTCCCTGAGCTCAAATGCACTCTTCTGGTTTTCTAGCATTAATGTAGCTGTCGGTTTGAATTTCAATCTTGAATTATGTCTGTTGACATAATTTCATAGCGCTGACTTCAATTGTTCAGGATTACTGTTTTGAACTACACAAGGAAACCAATTCTTTTCTCTATGGTTAGTAAATTCTATTCAAGTGCACTTTAATGCATGTAGTAAGCCATAAGGCAAAGTAATTATCTATAATATATTCTGATTCAAATAACAACCATTCTTAATTACTGGCATCTTAGAATAAAAAATATTTTTTAAATTTATTATTACATATTTAATAAACTAACATAAATATTTCCTGAAATTTAGAAATGGTATTTCAATTTAAAAAAATTCATGTTTTTAAAACCATAACTGTAGTTTGCTTTTGGAATAACACATGACAACGAATTGCTTAGTTTCATTCCTTTATTTCAATAAACCGTCCAACTTAACTTCTTATTCATACAAAATATCAAATGTAAGTATAAAAAAATTCCATTGGGAAAAAATATCCCTTTATTTTTATTGTAAAAAAAAGGGTAAGAGTAATTTTCATATTTTAAGGAAAGGAACAAAGTACTGTATCTTTCCAGTCGAGCAGAACAATGGCAGGACTCAACATAACAGAAGCTTTAACAAAAAGCAAAATCCAAACAAGTCCAAAATTAGTACAAAGAAACCAGAACAAAAGGAAAAAAAAAAGGCACCATACGATAACATGTATTTTTAAAGACTGCTGGGTCACATCATTAAGAAAAATATTTATATAAGTCATTAACACTCATAATTAGAGTGTCATATAAATCTGAGTGAAACTGCTAAGTAGGAATCGCTAGAAGTCCAGGTGCTTCTTGCCGATGGCCATAGCACCACATCCTGAGCTCAGCAGTTTGGCGGATTCTGCCAGATCCTGTTTGCTTGCGCGGCTCACTGTGTCTGACAAGTCTGGAGGCAAATGCAGTCGCTGTGGCAGGAGATTTTCAGGAAGGAGAGGGAGAGACGGGGGGAGAGAGAGAAGAAAGCGAGAGAGGAAAAAACAGAGAGAAAAAAAAAAGAATAATTGCAGCAGAATTTATTTTCCATAGCATATTTCAAAATGCAGTCTTCTTCCTGACTGATCAATGTTTGTTTACTCACACAGATAAAAGACTTCCCAGCCACTCTTTTAGGCTGACCTGGAAACAGTTTTGTATGATTTCAGTATACTGGGTTCTGTAAATTGGAATAGATGGTTTCTTCCTGAAGATTTTCTAAACAAAATCCAAATTTGCTCAAGGTATTTAATTATACCTATGGGCATTTATCCTTTAAAAACCAGTGGTTTGCCTGTATGTCAACTCCTACATAAAATCCTCTGATTTCTATGGCATTACAATATAAGTATAGTTTTATTTCAAACATGCATACTTCGTGGTAGAGTCTGAAAACAAATGATGTGACCGTCAAAAGATGGAGACGGCTGACCCTGGTTGCAGCATGATTCTGCTAGCATGTTTCTTCTTCATATTCTACTGTCATTTTTTAATAAAACCAGTGATAGTAGTTGCATTTGTATAAGGCAATCCTATATGCTAATCAAACCTTGCCATCCCTTGTGAGCTGTAGGAACATTACACCCATTTTACAGATGAGGAAATCGAGATGCAGGTTACACGTTTGTCCACAAGCATGCAGTCCTTGCATAATAAACCTTCTTTTTCAACTACGACAAAAATATTTCAACTGTCCTTCTGCAGATTCTTTTACACGGGAGATATATAAAAGACATGATATTGCCATCTAGCTTTTATAAAGTAAGGTCAATATTAATGTCAAACTGAGGCTTTACTGGGTTAATTCCTGGCTCGCTTTGGACACCGTGAGGCACTGAAAGCCGGTCAGATGAGACGGCTGAGCATCTTACACAGAGTGCAATAATTTATGAAACTGGTATCATGGAAGAAGCATATTTCTTGAAAGATTTAGTAGGCTAAACTGTGTAGCTCTTCTTTTAAAATGCACGCGCTTCTGAAGGGAGCAGGACAACAGTAATGGCTGTAAAACTGTCTTAGGAGGCTGTGTGGACTACCCTTATTCTCTGCTTTTGCTGTGTTTTTGCTTTTATCACAACACGTAAATACAGCTGACCTTTATTTGATACCTTCGCAACTTGCGTAGGATCCTTTCTTCATGCAGATAAGAATTCAATAAAAAAGCCTAAGAAATACCTATATTTCCAGTGGGCTGACTGTTCAGTTCATTGCCGGCTTTAAGACTGCAATTAGGCATCCCTCAAGAGGTGCTCCAAAGCACTCCCCTACCACCGCCCCCTGCCACTGTGGGCAGCGCACGGACAAGGTGCGCGGGGCTGTTGTCTCCTCTGAAGGAAGGAAGTGCCTGAAGTAACGCATGTGGAGTAGGAAAGCCTGTGCCCAGGGTGAGACGACATACCTCAGGGTTGAAATAGGAGAAATGTGTGTATTTCTTTGCAGCACATTACCTACGAAGCACAATTTAGGTATCAAACCCCACCCCCCATATAAACCATTTGGTAACTATGTGGCTCCTAGTTTTCACTGTATTGAAATCGGTGCTGTGGTACGGTACCCTTCACTTACGGTTCTTCCCTTAGGAATTCCTAAGAAGGTGAAGCATGGCTGTGGATGTGAACTGTGGTCCTTGATGCCTCATTTCTACATCAACACAATATAAAGTAGGGCACGTGCCTACTTTCTTTGTCTGCTGAGAAAAACGTTTGCTAGGGAAGAGCCAATGTACAGCTTGGATTGCAGAGGGGGGCTGCAGCCACTGGAAACGAAGGATGAGGAAAAGCCAGAAGTGCAGCGGAGCACTCAGCAGATCTTGCAGCCACATTTTCTTTCCAAAAAAGTGTACAGTACTCTGCTAGCAGGCTACAAGGTATCTGGTACGTGGGAGGTGGAAAGACAAGTGAAACAATCCAACCTTCTCTCACTCACCATTAGCATCTCTCTGCCCTCACCTGGGAGCTGGAGAGGTGGCTTCCTTAGGGGAAATGTAGTCCACCAAACGGATTCAGAGCAAGGTGATGAAGAGTGAACAGAACCGAGACTCGGCAAACTCATCGTATGCAGGCACTAACTAATATCACAGATAGGGAACAACTGTAAACCCTGCCACGCTGGCCTGGACTTCAAAGGTGGTCAAAAGAAAAAAAATCTTTGATATTTACACAGTCTCTTAGTCAACGCTATGTTCGTTCGCTAGTATATATTATGAACAGAACACAGATAGAAAAATATTTATAAATTTGCTAAGACTCAGATAGCAAAAGTAAAAATTCAAGCTCCTCAGACTGGATGGCGGGACTGAACTAGGGTTTTACAGATGTATTTGTTACGACACAGTGTTGCATTGCACCTGCATATACTCTTCTAGCCCCATCTTCTTCAGCGAAGAGGATGCACGCTGCTCATTTAGCGACTGGCTAATCAGTGTTTGGTTTTCTAGTCACTGTTTACTCTGAACTTTTCTGATGTATTTATTGTACACTATTCAAACCTTGTTCTGAAGACAGAATGGCTTTTCAATAGCACATGTCAGTATATAGCACTTGAATGCTTCACAAACACCAACTGTGTTATTTTCCTAATATTCTTGTGTGATAAGGCAGCAAAGTTACCTCCATTTTAGTGACAGGGAATTTAGGCACACAAAACACACGGAAAAACCTATCTACTAATTTCAGAAACACAATCTGCGGCATTTAGGACTTGCTTTTCCAGAATGTTTGGCATTGCACAGCATTTCACATGATCAGCTGCTAACTTCATTTGCAGCTGTGAGTGCTTAGTATTTCTTCAAAACCCCAAGTCAGGCACTTGTGAAAGACACAGAGTACAGAAATAAATAAAAACGCTGGGTTGAAGCGACATGATCACACAGAAGCTCAGTGGTATACACAGAGACACATCATACCTTCCACGATATCCTTCAATCATTCGTCTTCATTACCAGACCATCCCTCCTGCAATCCTTGCCCTCCCTACAATCCCAATTTTCAAACATTACAAAAAATCACTGGTTCTCTAGGAAGCATATTTCACTGCGTAGGCCATACTCGGCCGCAGATCAGACGCAGTCTGAGCAACAAACAACATTGGGGTCCTCTGAAAACAACTGAACACTCTCCTGCCATTAAGATGTGAATCGTAGCACACACGCACAGCACCTCTGAATAAGGCCTGAATAGACATTTCAAAATATCATTCCTTACATTTTCTGTGCACAGCTTAAAAACATAAACAGGGCTGCAAATATGAACCCTATTCAATATCTTAACACCATTAAAAACAAATTCTATGCTTTAAATCACAAACAATGGAAATTCATCGCACAGCGTTACACAGAGATCCACGGGTTAAAACAACAGGCCTGTATTTTTGGCACCAACAGGGACGTTCCGGTCACTTGAACTAAGGCAGTAAGTGATAGCCTGAATAGGCTGTGATCCTTTTTGAACACCAGCATTACAGAATGATCAGACATTTTCACAGATATTTGCTGACCACAGAGAAAGAGTCCCATTTAAAGTCCCAGTTGAGGACAAAATGTTTTCTGGTGGGCGGACTTCTCTGCTATTTCTGAGGCTGTGACCTCCATCCCTTTCACTCTTTCTCTTACCAGTCTGATAAGAATTGGGCTGCTTTTGCTCACACCAGCAATCCTAGTCCTTGTTGCCCAGGCCTCCCACCCTGCAACTGGTCTTCACGCCAAAACACCCCTTCTCCAGTTATCTGCACCCCCCCAGCCTCTGCCCCATCCAGCCTCAGCCTTCTGCTTCCGAGCTCTTACTCCTGCTCCTGCCAGTCCTGGGCTTCTCTTCCCTTTTTCTGCCCATATTCCATCCCTGCTCCTGTTCCTAACGCCCAGGTCCAAATTCAGTGCCAGGCCACCCTTCCTTGCCTCAGCCCCTTGTCCTCCTCATCCCCTATTTTGTCCTCCTCCTCCTCCCACCTGTTCTGGATCTGCCCCTCTTGATCTCGCTGGCACTGCTTTCTGTGCCCGCTTCCCGTCCCTGCCCCTCTCCCCTGCCCAGCGTGCGGGCACAGCAGCAGCTCACCTCCTGGTCCGAAAAATGGGTACATCTCTGGGGAAGGGTCACCAAGTGCACCTGGGCCAAACAGGTGGATTTTCATGGGACAGCAAAAACACATTTGCGTATTTTCATTTGTTCTTTTAAAGAATTGAAGGTTTTCCCTGAAATATTCCTGCGTGTGGGTAAACACAAAACTTCTGGTAGCCTACAGCAAGCTGGCAGGGCAACAATATTTTAGGGCGAAACGGTCATAGTTTGGCAAAAGTAAACATGCAAGTGAGAATAGGATACTATAACTGCCTTCCTTGTGATAATTTCTTCAAGCCTGTATCAAAGAAAGGCAAAGTTTGCCAGTGTTAAAACTAGGGAATGCTAGAGTAAACTTCCTTGTGCAAAGTTAATTGTCTTTCTGATTATAGTGTGTTTAATTACAGGATCACACACTATTTTCACCCATGCAGGCTGTCAGGAAGGTTTAAGTTCAGGATCTTCAGAATCAGCCTCAGCTTCGCTCCCTCGATGAAGAGATAACCGGCTATGGAAGCAGGCTACCGCCGTGCAAGGCGCAGCCAGGAAGGGCACGGTGCGAGTGCTGGCGCTTCCCGCCTGCTCCGTTCCGGGCAGGTCCCGAAGGCTTTGCGGTGATAGGAACAATTACACTGAACCCAGCTAAGCACACAGCTTTAGGGCATGCATTACGAAAGGAAAACAGTTCAGACAAAACTTATTACATACTTTGCCTCTGCTCCTCCCTCTGCCTGAAGAAAACTTCTAATTACTTTATTTGTTCTCAATGGGAAAAAAAGAAAAAAAGCAGAAGTGGAAGATAAGAATACGTAAAACGACAGGCCAGAAGGGACGCGGAGCAATCAGTTAGTCCAGTCCCAGCACTGCGGGCCAAATACAGC